AACTGAGAAATTTAGACTATGGGCCCGAACGATGCATAGTGCGTCCAAATTCACACCCGTTCTTCTCTGTGGATTTTCTCCACGACCGTGCGTCATAGTGAGAAGCCACGCATATCAGCGGAAACAGCAGAATTGTAGCTTTCCGACAAGGCCAAGCACTTGTCGGTAATCCAATGTTTTCACAGCGAAAAATTACAATAAAATGATGTATAACAGAGCTTTCATACAGCTTTGCACACACATTACTCTTGGATGGATTACTCGCGAACGCAGGCTCGCACAGAAATGCCACGCATATCACATGAAAGTGCAGGAGCAGAGCTTTCCAGTGATGCCACACACATCATTGTACTGTCATCTCATCATGCTATAAATCCAGATTAATTGTCTACAAAATAAAAACCTGACGAATTTCTTTACAATCCATTATACAGATCTTGTTATCAGTCACTTCATATAGTGAGGAATATCGTATCTTACCACGTCTTAGGCTTGCGTGTGTTTCTCCCTGTCTATCCACATTTGTAGTCCGGCTTTCAAGATGCAAATATCTCCATATTGTCCAGTTGACACTCCATCAAACTTTGTATGACAAGACCAGCCACTTCACCTTTGCGCACCCAGACAACTGCAGCCTAATTATGCATGCATGACAGGGCCGTAGTCACCATATACATTGAGGGGGACATGTGTCCCCCCCAATGCCCAAAATGTCCCCCCAATATATAACTGAAACTGAAAAACAACAACAAACTTTGTTTACTGCAAACAAAGTGGCAAATATTATCTTGGAGGACATCATTGCACTTGGTTGACTATTTTTCTATGATCTTAGATGTAAATATTGCATGTTTCTTTCAGATAAAACACATTTTTGACTTGTGAATGAGTCAATGGAATTTCTTGCAATAATGAAAAAATACTGGCAATCATGTCCGCCTGGCACAAACCACATGTTTTGGACAACTGTGAAGTGATAGAATGTCCCAGCATCATGGTTCTTATATTGCCAGATTCCAGAGAGTCTCCCCTCTTCATATATGGCAGAATATGTCAACTTCCAACTTGCTATGGTGAGATACATGTAAAAATGTAAGAATTTAGGCACACAGATTTGTTTTTTTTCATTGATATAAAAATTAATATAAAATACAGACACATAGAAGGACATGAAATGATGGCAAATCTGATTAGTCCAGATTGTCCTGAAAAAAAACAAGATATAGCATGTGTATGTAGCCTTTATAATGACTGTGATATGAGCTTAAAAGTAAAGGCAGTAAAAATACCCCAAAAAGGCCTAGGGCCCATAGGGTTAAAAAGTACCGAAATAAGGTACCGTTTGGTACCGGTACTGAATTCCAGATACCGGTACCGGTACCGTATCGGTTCAATTATGAACGGTACCCAACCCTACTCTTCTCCCTCCTTCTGTCCTCCAGGTTCAGTGACGGCAGCTAACTGCAGGGAGCTGGCGGCTCAGGCAGACGTGGACGGCTTCCTGGTGGGCGGAGCCTCTCTCAAACCAGAGTTTGTCGACATCATCAATGCGCGCGCATAACTGATGCAGAAAAATGGCTCCATCGAGGCTAATTAAAATACACCCAGCCCTCTAGATCGTCACCATGTATCCTCAAACTGAGCTGACTGATCCACAGATGTGTCGAATTACAGGACGTTTTATGATGAATGAGATAAGTGTAGGGCAGTAGAATGAATTCAAAGTAACTACCAACACTTTATTGTCTTATTTTGCTATCATTTTTGGGAATTTAGCTTATTAATTTGTCGTATTACTTTATAGAGTCAAACTGCTATTTGTTTCTATTTCTTCTTACCATTGGGTCTGTTTATAACGTTGGGTCACAGTATTGGATATCTTCCAGCCTTTTTGTGTTGACTTCAAGATCTGTAAACATCTTAAAAATGAGAAATTTTGCAATAGGTCCTCATGTTTTCAGCTGATTTAGAGGAAATAAGTTCCGCCTCAGGGGTTAAAGTGATAGTGTGTATAGTCTATTTTTCAGATGACTATTTTTTCTGCTTTCTGTCTTTATTTGAGAGGTGGAAGTGGTGACAAACAAGATCATTCAGATAGGAGATATAAGATATATGAAATTAAGATTCGATGCAAACAATTTCTTTAATCTCCCTCTTAGAAAAGAAAAAATATTAAGTCATATGAATGATAGATTCAGCAGTTAATTGGAGGTAAAATGAGAGATATTATTTCTGGCAGACGATCAGTCACCCCAGGTTGCTTTGTGTCTTAAACACTGTTGTAATGTATCAATGTTGCACTCTCTCACCCAACTGCACTAACTGTTACTTCAGGACAATAAGAGCTCTGGACAGAATGTACTTAGATATATATTATGATATGTACACAAAGTCTATCTTTTGCTGCTACTGTGAAGTTGTCACCCATAGGCACAAAAGAGTTAACACTGCACACATGCTGCTGTATGTTTAACACTGGACCTGAATGAATAAATAAAATGTGGATAGAGGTTTGTCTTCATTTTTTGCTTGTGTGACATTAAAGGGAAAATGTGCTAATTTTTACATGGATATCCAATTAGTGTTGATGTCAGTGTGGTAGGGCTGCCCCCTAATAGTCGACCAAACGTCAGTCAACCAGAAAAGTCAGTAGTCGGTAAAATCTAATCGGTCGCTTAGTCGCAGCAAAAAAATAAAAAACAAAAAATTTGTGAAACTCTACGCCTTGTCAAAATAAATCAAAACCTATATGACTGGACCATGTGGGAGTTTAATTTGAAAGGACAGACACAGGAAATAGCCACGCTGAGCAGTCAGACAGGAGTCACGTTAATTTCCAGGGCTGGTACCTGCAGTTATTACACAGGCTAGTTAATAACATGTCGGGCAGGAAAGGGTGAGAAGGTGGAGGACTGAAACATCTGAAACATGGAAGTAGCTACATGCCCATTAGCCACTTAGCACAATCAATACTGCTTTGCCGACAGCGTAATTAACAGGCGGCTCGCTCAGTGTGTGACGTGCACTTGTACATAAAATATAGGCCTATATTAATGAATATTAATAAATATATGTACAGTTCATTAGTACGGTTTTGTATTTCTCTGTAATGTCGCACTGTGTTAACAATGTTACTTATACTATTCTTTCTCACACCTTCAACTCAAACCATTGTGTTGCCCCACCCAAAATATATAATTCAATAATTAAATTAATATCGTAAACATGTGGGTGACTAGTCTACTTATGGCCCTAAATGACTATTGGTGCACTAAGAAAATTCTTAGTTGGGGGGCAGCCCTAGAATGTTGTCGACTACTTTAATTGAAGTAGTCGAAGCACTGAGTTCTCAGCTGTAAAGTGTGTTCTTCCTTTCCTTGTTGCCTTTACTTAACTCTTGTAAACAAGCCAGGTTTTCAAGTAGTGGCAACCTGCAGGGCTGACAAATGATGCCAACAGGAAGTGCCAAAAATTGCAGTTCCTCTAATGGCCACTTGAGGCTGGCTCAAAGACAGAGTAAGTCCCTATAGATCTTCATGTTTAAATGCCTAACTTAACTGCAGAAATAAGCATACTGCCAGCGTGGGTTGGTATAAAAAAAAAGGGTGTGGTCTCTACAGCTAATTTCCCTGTTCATGACAACTGAGCGGGGATGTATTTTTATGTAACTCACCAATTTGAAGTGTTGATAAGGATATAAGTAATGTATAATCAAAGGGGTGGCCACTTTCAATGGCAGGTGGGTGCCCTCAGTGGTGTAGTGTTAGTTGATGAGGTGCATGAATGTAACAGTAAGTCTAAATTTGCCTATCAACAATACTCGTAGGTCTAAATGAGCATACTGTTAACACCCGAAAAAGAACCGGGTATACTCTGTATACCAACGTGTACCCTCCAGCACCCAGAAGTTGCTACCACAGCAACAATGTTCATTAGGTAATGTTACCATGGCGTTACCCCAGAGGGGTACTCACAGAGGCGTAGCCATGGCTGTCACTATTTCAGTGTGTTTTTAGTTCATGATTGTTAATTTCAACATTTTGGTCATCTAAAAAAGTCTTGCTCAGCATTTGGTTCTACTAAAAGACCCTCTAAGGAGTCAGACTTTCAGTTTTTCTGGTAAGTATGTTTTGTTGTAATGGTTCTGGGCCTGTTTTTGCTAGCGAAAATTATCATAGGCATTATCACAATTGATCACTTCTTAGTGCAGTGTGCTAACTAAGCTAGCAGCCAGTGAAAGAGTAATTGCCACCCTCTCACCCAAATATGGTTCCAAAAATTCAAGATGGCGACAGCCAAAATGCCAAATTTGAGGCTTCTAAACCAGAGTCCACAAACCAATGGGTGATGCAGCGGTGGCTATATGTTATTTTTAACACACTATGCAGATACATCACCATCAGCCTTCAAATCTTTCCCATCAGACAGAAAAAGGAAAAGACCTGAACATCTGGCAGGTGTATTCAGAAACTGTGGAGTTTTGCAATATTGCATGGCTTACACTGAAGTTTCAAATTTCAAGCTTTACTTCAATCATTTAAACCATGGCCTCATTTTCCTAACTATGAATTTACCTCATATGTGTTTCTGATCCAGTCCTACTTCCCTCAGATGTGTTCAAGAAATGCACTAAATTTAGAGAAGATTATCATCATCTTTGTGGCCCTCAGTACCCCAGGATCCCTGGCCAATCGACAATGTTTTCATGGCATGCTCAGCTCAGAACTATGACACATTTTCCCTGATTATCTTTCTTTCAGCGTTTGCAATTTTTTAAAGGTTTTAGTTTATTGCAAAAAAAAAACAAAACCCAAAAACCTGCTGTGTTTCTTTGAAAAGCAGCTACAAGTTCAGTCAATTCAGGACATAAACATCACAAAATAGATCTTAAGAAATACAGACACAAGAAAAGACAAAAACCTTTTAGCTGTGATTGAAATTGTAAATTACCATCTTTTTATTTCACATATTTTCACGTTATTTTCAATGACAAGCGTTCGTTTTTTAGTTTTATTTTTTATTTTTCTTTCTTCTTTTTCAACACAGCATTCGGGGTTTAAGATATTTTTTTTTTCTTTTTCTGTAGGACAAAGGCGGGATCTCAAGCATAAAGGACAAATAATCAGAATCACGTCATGGTGGGAGGAAGAAGAGTTTTACAAACTGAGAAACAGACACGACAATAAGAAAAGGTGACAAAAAGAGGGAGAAGGACAGAAGTGGGCGGAGTGCAGGTTTGTCAGTGTCCAGGTGAGAGTGTGACACAGTCGAGTGTGTAAGTGTTCACGTGTTAGTGTTGTTTAGTTGTTGGTTTTTTTTCACTCAGTCCCTGAAACTGCTGTTTTGTGTGTCTTTCTGCAAGTGCATCGTCCTCGTTGGTGCTGAAAGTTTTTTAAATTTATTTTTTTATTACATCTCTTTCAGTTGCGTGCGTCAGTCTACATTATTCTATTATATCTCTACTTATTTATCTCTCTGGTTTTAAAACAATAATCTTTATTTTTGCAGGTCTGTCCAACTGTACATGAACTATTCCTTTAAAACTACAGTAACAGTGCATGTCTGGCTTATTAATTTGATATTTTTAAGGTGTTCCCCTGCATGTGCATGGGTGTGTGTTGCATTTGGGTGTGTGTGTATGTGTGCACACAGCATCATCTCTCTACCTATAAGTCCAGTGCATAATTTATTTATTTATTTTTATTTTTTTTGCTTAGCTCTTTTGCTTGTGTTTTTCCATAAAGCTGTGTTATCTTTCATTGTACATGACTCATTCCATGTTTGTTCATGTCTGTTAGTTGTGTGTGTGTGTGTGTGTGTGTGTCATTCGTTTGTCTGTCAGTTTCACAGGACGCTGGGGTTCCTGAAGTTATGGCCTGCAAAGCGAGCCTGGTCGCCCAACTCCTCTTCAATCCTGCGGAGAGGAAAAGAGAAAAGCACAGAGTGGACACAAATCATTTAAAGCTGCAAAAAAAATGTATGTGTGAAAACCTGGTGAAAACACATCTGTTTGTACCATGGAAGAGGTAATCATCCTCAGCTCTGTGGTGTCAGTTGTTCCGCTATCTGCTCCACAAAGTTACAAATCAGAACTTAAAGGATGAGCCTGGGGTTCCATCCATTCAATTTCAGCCATTTATCTGTGAGCAACAGGCTGAGCAAGGAACTCCTGACATCCCTCTCCCCAGCAACATTTTCCAGCCCCTGCTGGGGGACCTCAAGGTGTTCACAAGCCAGATGAGATATTTGAGACGACCAGACTATCTGAACACTTGTCCTGTGGGCCGACCTCCTGTAAGGATAGGCATCAGGGTTGGGTGCATTGTGTGCTGGGCAGCAGGTAGGGGCTGGCGTGCTGACCCCTGGCATCACAGAATAGCTCTGAGGCTGGGGTTGTTCAATTTCATTACTATTGTCAAAAAAGTCCCAAGAAAAGACCAAAAGCAACAATAAGTGTTTTTAGACCAAACAGTTCTGGGGACTCTGTAAGAACTGCAGGCCGACAAAGGCTTTTTTTCTGTTTGCATTTGCACCACCAAATGGAACACTGACATGTTGGCCAGTGGTTGGTATGGCAACATCAGTTTTACTTGAGTCAAAATTGCGTTACGTGCAGGGGCGTAAATATAGACAGTGCAAGCAGTGCGCTTACACCAGGGCCCATGGGATGGGGGCCCGTAGAGAGAGTGGTTGGAAGGCCCACTCTCTCTAGAGCAGAGAATGGGCCTTGGTGAGCGATTCAACTTGCCACCTCAGAAGTGCGGAATATTTTTTTCTTTTGTGAAATAGTCAGTGGTAATCTATAACAAAATTATGTTTATTTTACATAAACTATATAAACTATACATTAAGTATTTAAAAAATCCATATATTTAATAATTTCTTATTTTATTTGGTATTTTTGTCATTTACAGATTTGCAGTGATGATTGGTATTACAGTATGTGTGTATGTTGTCCAGCATCAAGTCTGTATTTGATCATGTCATGATACTATAACATATACGGTAGCTGTTTCAATGCAAAATCTGGCACTAGGGCCCATCCTGACTACCTTGAACCACTGGTTGCATGTACTCAGTAAAGCCTGGACTTCACTGTTGGTCCAAATCTCTGTGTTTCCTTCCATTTTTTACATTACAAGCTGTTTTTTGTGTTTTGTGTTGTCTGTTCTTTATACAGCTGACAGGTTGCTTAAAATGTACTGTATTGACTCATGTGTCCATCCAATCAACATACTCTTAGATCACATATTGTTTCCCATTGGTGCTGAGTGACCTATACTCTATAATAGTAATTGTTCCTAGTATCTGAGGTGTGGACTCAACAAAAAAGTTTGTTTCTTAAAACCATGAAAAATTTCTTCCAGTCCGAAAATGCCTAATATGTTTGTTTTGCCTCTCAATATTTTCTGTCTTCTTTTCTGTGGGTTTCAGCTCCATCCCCACTGGACCCTCTTAAGAATGTAAATCTTTTAAAACACCTCCCAAGTATTTTTTTAAAGGCTCAGTAATTTCCCAAAACAGCTGATCACTGCAGTCCTGTAGTTTTTATGAAACAAACAGGAGGGAATAGTGCATCTGTTGGGGACTGTTTGCAGCAGTGCATTAATACATATTTGTTGCAGAACGGTATGTGTTATGGAAGATTTTAACTGCCTAATTGAAAACACATCAAGCAGAAATAAAAAGAAATACTCACATTGTTGTTTGCATTTGCTCTTTATGTTATGCCCTAACTTTGTTAGGGCATAACATAAATGTTGCATAAAATGTAGCACATAATAAATGTGTTTCGAACTGGGGCAACATTGTGACTCGAGTGAGTAAAATACAAAACCACACAAGAAAGAGACGAGAGAAGCAACAACAGTCGGATAAATGTACGAGACAGAGAAAAACAGATCTTTAAACCAGGAATGGATTCTTACTTGTTCATTTTTCCCACGGGCAGTTCAAAACCAGCATGTCTCATTTCAGTAGGCAATTTGAGTCGAATTTGGGGGGCTACGGTGAACAAATGGCCAACTGCTTATGAGGAATTAAAAATCAGGATATGCCGGTCTCGTCTGTTTTTGACTTTCAAGTTGTCTCTTGCAAGTTCCCCAAATTCATGAAAATGCAACAGTAAATCACTTTATTACTCTCTTAAAAATATCCAACATGTCTCCCTAGCTGCCACTGTGTGACAGCCTGTTAACAGTATGAATGACTGATTTCTTTCTGGTGTCACTGTACGTGTGTGTGTGTGTGTGTGTGTGTGTGTGTGTGTGTGTGTGTGTGCGTGTTTCACTGCACTGATTAGTGTTTATCGCTGTAAGTCTCTCCACCCTCCACCTCTCCTACATCTCCTCAGCAGTCCGATGGGATTACAACGCTGAGCCGATCCCTCTTCCTCCTCCTCCTCCCTACCCCTCCCTCTGCTCCTCCTGCTCCCGACTGGCTCGGACACATGGGGTGATGCCGGCGGTGCTGTCGCCTGTCACGTCAATTAGCTCTGTGGTGCTACGCGCTAAGACAAAGCAGGAAGCGGAGGAGCCGTGTTATGTAGTAGCAGAGCAGCTGCCAGAAGAACCCAAAGAATTAGATATTAAATTTAACAGTGATTATACCTTTAAAAGAAATGTTGAAAATATTTGTAGCATTCTAGCAGTTTTCCAATTTTAATTATGTATATGAACAAGGTTTTTTTTTTAAGATGTTTTTTGGGTTTTTTTTAGCCTTTATTTGATAGGACAAACAAGCATGAAAGGGGGAGAGAGAGAGGGAGTGACATGCAGCAAAGGGCCACAGGCTGGAGTTGAACCCGGGCTGCTGCGGCAACAGCCTTGTACATGGGGCGCCTGCTCTACCACTAAGCCACTGACGCCCCTTGTTTTGTGTTTTTGCAGGTTTACAGGTAAGCACATACAGCACAGCAGCAGCGACCCACCAACCAACATCGGCACACCGTTAGGATGGAAACAGAGGGCTTGGTGGGGACGGTGCACCTGGCGCAGCAAGCGAACACACTGTGTTCATCATAATGACTTGACCAGCAGACTTCACTACAAGTTGACTGGCTGTTGAAACAGGTGCTTTATGTTCTCATACTAGCCACTAACTAACCAGCTGATTTGCAGGTGACACCATGAGCCAGCTTGAGTCCAGCTCAGACCGTCCAGTTTACACTGCTGCAACGTTTCGCTGCAACGTTCTAAATCGGTTTTGTCTCATTGTGCGTCATTAGTCCGAACTGGGCTTTAGGGTTCTCTCAGCTGTAAATGCACTGCCCTAACTAAGCTATCAGCTAGCTGGAGGGTAGGCTCCACCCTCTTGTCCAAATATGGTGACTTCTGGCTCCAAATATCCAAGATGGTGACGGCAAAACTGCAAACTCCAGACTTTAAAACAGGAGTCGACAAACCAATGGTTGATGTCACAGTGGTTATGTCAATGATTCTATACAGTCTTGGGTCTAGATCCTGTAAAGACAGAGTTTTAAACCTGGACTTAAGGAAATATGAAATCTTGTCATAAGGAAAAATCAGCCAACAGGTGATGAGGATGACGAAAACATGTACAATGTAAAGATAAAGTAAGATAAAAAACGATCACCAACTGGCTATTGAAATCTGTCAAACTGTGATTAGCAGTTTTTTTTCTTAAACTACAGTTTATTTTCTTGTGTCTACATAAATATGTGTTGTGTGCCATGTGTTCCTTATTTGTTGCTTGGTTTGTTTCATTTTAGTGAGTAATTTTGGGTGTTAGTTGTTATTTCAAAAGGGGAGGACTCTGAATGAGTCTTTCAGGCTTTCTGCCTCTCCAGCAATGAAATCACTTCTATCTTACTATATAATGAAGAAAATTCTGTCTGTGGGTGTGTCTGTGTGTCCGTTCCACGTTTTTATCCTCAATGACTTGGTCAATCCATGTGAAATTTGGCACAGTGGTAGAGGCTCATGGGAGGATGCGAATGAAGCAATATTACATCAGTTGGCCAAAGGGGGGCGCTATAGCAACCGATTGAAATTGCAACCTTTGAATGGGCATATCTCATGCCACGTATGTCGTAGAGACATGAAACTTTGCACAGAGATGCCTCTCCTCATGAGGAACAAATTTGCCTCAAGAACCCATAACTTCCGGTTATATAGATTTTCCACCATTTTGAATTTTTTGAAAAACACTTAAAATCGATCTCTTCCTAGGAAGTTTGACCAATCTGCATGAAACTAGGTAAACATAATCTAGGGAACAATATCTAAAGTTCCCTCTTGGCAAAAGTTGGAAAACTTACTAAAACTGAGCTTCTATAAGGCAATGAATATTGCGGAGGGCGTGGCTCATCACATAAAGGTGTATAACATCTCAAGGGTTTCACCGATCACCACACAACTTTGTAGGCATATGACCACACATAATCTGAGGGGACCCCTCCATTATAGACCTGATCAAACAAAATGGGGGTGCTAGAGAGCTAATTTCTTATCTAGGCCTAACTGCCATATCGATTTTTACTAAACTTGGTAGATATGTAGAACAGGACGCCTCAAGATGACTGGAGAAATTTAACTCTAATTGGCAACTGGGTGGCGCTATAACAACAGAAAAATGCTTAAAAATGGCTAAAATGTGACCGATCGCTGTGGCTCCCCCTGTGGCCCAATGTTGTTTTATTTTTCTAAATGTTGGTATGACTAAGTCATGATATGGTATGCTGTACATAATCAAGGAAGCTGTCAGTGTGTCATTCTGTCAGTCAGTCAGTCAGTCAGTCAGTCATTCTACCAGTGCGCCCCACTTTTAACTCAATACAACATATAAACACTTTAACTATCTGCCTTTCAGCGTGCTACTTCATCTACTAATGTACAGTTTAAGCCCACTAACTATCCCACTATTGGCAATGGTACTACTGTACTTTCAATAAAGCAATCGTACTATCAAATCCACAAAAACACTGTCTGAATACATTGCTCTTCTTAATGGGTTCAGTTGACTATTTAATCTGCAATTTCCTATGACCTGTATCCCAAACATACACCATGTGAAACTGTATGTGGGCAACTGTGCACTCAATGGGTATGGACTAGTTATCTATATTTTGTTTTTTCTTATTATTTTGGAGAAAAAAAAGACAAAAACATCTCTGAGTCAGTTCTCCTTCAGAATGCCCAAATTTGCAAAATTGCAATTACAAATTACGTTGTTCTTAATTTCAAATCCCAAAATCCAATTTTTAATTTCCCTCTAATATTCACTGCTGAGACAGTTCACGTACCTGCTCTGCATAAAACACACTGCCTTCACAGCGCTGGTTATGTCATCAAGCCATCTGGTTGCACCTGAGAGATGGGCGCGGCCATGGATACATTAGGCCTGCTGCTCTCTCTGAACAGCCTCCAACTGTGTTTGCATCATATTTTAGTTGTCTTGAGTTGTGGTCAGAACAGATTTAGAAAGGTGACATTTGTTTGTGTGGTCTGGCAGCGTCCCTCCTTCTCTTCTCTTTGTTTTATTTTATCTTTTATGTTAACAAGGATAAAAACATCAATATTTCCTGAATGAGAGATCACACTCTTTTGAATCAACTTGACATCAGAGTGCTTTGTAACTTCTGTAAATTAAATCAGATTGAATTTTGCACAAAGTGAAAGAGTCAGTTAATGAGAGGAAATCATCAAGAACAGACAGAGAAGTTTTCCTAGAGAAGCCTCCCAGCTGTTTGAAAAAGTAATTCTCTCTGTTCCCAAAACCTTTATTATCTTCCAAGAGAGAAGCTTATTCAAACTAGAACATACCGTTTGTCTGAGGGAGGATTTTTTGTTTTATCATTATTATTCTCTTTTATTTTTAAGCACTGTAATATTTCTGTTTTTATTTCAACCCTCTCTGATCTCTGGAAGCCCATAGGGGACTTTGAAATTAAAATAACATTAAAAAATTAAAATCATTAAAAGTTTCAGTGTAATCTTGAAAAGGAAAATGTAAATCCACCATAGCGGCACAATTTTCCCTATGCTAAACAAAAGATTGAGAGACAATGTCTGCTGCACACTGACCTCATGAGCTGGTTGTACTTGGCCAGCCTCTCAGATCTGCAGGGGGCACCAGTCTTAATCTGCAAAATGGAGACAGCAAAGATGATCATAAATCCAAAAGGAAATATTGAAAGAAAATACTGACCTGTGGAATGTTGGGATGCACAATATTGTTGCTTTTTATCAGACATGCGATATGCCGAATGCCGATAAATAATAACTTATTACTGCTACCAATTTCAATATCGATATATCCACTTTTGTCCCCACCTAATTTTAGTGATCATCAAGTCTCTTCAGTAGTGGAATTAACATCATATTATACATGCATACTCTTATCGTGTTGGCCCACCAGCAGATGGAGACATGAAATGGAATGCTTATCAATGTATGTAATATTCATTCATTGTGCAATATGAGAAAAAGCACGCTGGCTGATTCTGTTCATTTAAGAGCTGACATTGGCCGATACCGATGATGTGTCGATATCATGCATCGAATAGTGAAATGCTGAATTAAAATAATGTCAGTATGTGGTGAATGACATTTTATTTGTGTTGGTCTGAAACCCAAATTATACTCTTTTACTCATTATGCATGCAGTGGTTACAGTTAGCGTTCAGGTAAGGCCAGGTTTATACTTCTGCATTGAATTAACACCGTGCTTATGCTGTACCCTGACATGCACCTCCCCAGAAATGTAACTCTGCGTCAGAGCAACACAGACCTTTCCACAAACATTTTCCCCATCAGAAACAAAGCTTTTATTTACTTTTATTTCACAGATAAGAAACAATAAACTATGAAGACAATAAAGCCTCCACAAAATAGCATTTTAATTCTTGTGTGAGATTGTTGCTGGCTTCACGCGTAGAGAAGTACATTAGCCACTAGGCTAAATTATGCAATGGAAAATGTTATAGGCTTATGCTAATGCTGCACAAGAATAAATGCTCACAACAGCAAAGGCCACTTGCCAGGTAATGAACATAGGTGTGTGTGTGTGTGTGTGCGTATGTGTGTGTGTACCTGTCCAGTGCAGAGTCCCACCACCAGGTCAGCGATGAAGGTGTCCTCTGTCTCTCCTGAGCGATGGCTGACCATCACACCCCAACCATTTGCCTGAGCCAGTTTACACCTGAGAGACAAACACAAAGACACAGACAGACATTATGTCAAACAGTAAGCAATACAAAAAACATTTCCTTGCTTCTATTTATCACATAACACAGATATTGTACGTTTTACTACATTTATTTGATAACTTTACTTTATGAACTCAGATTTCTACTAAATATAATCAATGGACCATTCTGCAAAGAGAGTACTTAATTTTGGTAGTCTACTTTAAGTATATTTTGATGCGAATACCTTTATAGTTTTACTTAAAGCAAGTATTTGGAACTTTTGTCTCCCCCTACTGGTAGTGAGAGTAACTACATAAATAATAATATGTTTGCCTACAGGTGAGCTTTCCTCATCTCCCTGCCCCCAGAAGTGCTCTCTTTAAGTCTTTTCTTTACTATAATCCTTCCTCTGAACTAGGGCTGGGAAACATGGCCCTAAAATAATATCACAATATTTCAGGGTATTTTTGTGATAACAATTTTCTTAACAATATGACATTAGTGAATTTGAGAACACAGAATTGAAACAAAGTAAGTGACATTCAGTTAAAACTAAACAAAATAATCTGTCGTTTCTCAGTTTGTAAACAACAACATTAACTCAGAGTGAGATCTATTTTTATCAGAATCCTATATGATTGAGTTTCTTTGTTTTGTTATTTTCCACCTCCACCATTTCTCCTCTAATGCTACAATAACTATTGCACATTTACATATATGTAGTTCTTAGTCGAGCCGCGAGCATCATGTAGGTTTACATTACAGAAAGTTTAATCAATTGATGACACTGACTCCTGTGTGTGTAGAGGGAGAGATGCTGTGCTGCTGCCAGAGGAGCCGCTGAATGAGTTCCCTCTGAGCAGTAGGCTAAGTCGCTAAAACAGTCTGAGAAGTCTGGGCTGTTCATAAAACATTCAGGACGCCACAGTTTATTCCACACTACTGAAGCTGCTCCTCTTTTTGGAACCACCGCAGAGTCTGTAATAATTTTGTTTTCAGCCATGCAGTACAGTATGACCTCAATACGTCAACAAGTCGAAATATTGTGAGTATCACGATATGAATTTTTCATATGATATTAAATATTATGCATATATTACATATACATATACATATCTCATCTTGAACAATATGATATGGCACACCTCTAATCTGGACGCAAAGTTTCTTTTTTATCTATAGCATCCACGCCAGAAGCATTTTAGGATTTTCCACCACAGCTACCCCCATACTCAGAACTGCTACTGTTCCATTGCTATGGTCTCTTCCCCCTTCTTTTTTTTAAGTCTTTATTTTAAACTGCCAACATACAAAGTAATGGAAGAAAACATCAAAATCACATACATACAAATGAAGCATAGTGATAGGCTCAATCAGCATTGTGTGAACTTGTTTGGCAAGGGCTTGAATGTAGTAGATGTTCATTTATATGTAAAAATCCTGTACTCTAGCTTCAAGTAAAAATTTAAATGCAGGACTTTTACTTGTCTTAGAGTATTTCTACACTGTTGTATTACTACTTTTACTTGTGTGAACGATTTCAGTACTTCCACCACTGCACACCAGAACTGTCAACACAGAGTTTGCAGGATTAGCAGATGCTAGCTAAAAGATATATATGTTTTGGCTCTTTCACATTATCAGTCTAAGAGTTTATCAATCAGACTTGATTTATTTGTGGTTGCAGCTCACCTGACACGTTAACCTGCTAATAACATGGAAGTTTAGACACCATTGGTGCCTGGGGTCACATTTGAGGTTTTATAAAATGAACAAGCTCTCGCTCATCCTGCTGAGATGTTAGATGAATATGTCAGATTAACGCTGCAGGAAGTTTTTTATGTGAGGGTTACAGTATAATACATCACCTTTACTGTCATCAGCACCATTTCTATCATTTCATCCTTCTCCCCCCTCCTGCTGTAATCCAGCTACACTGTCATGACTGATAGTTTCATAACCCTGAGTGACGTTTCGTTAAGTCTGAGATTGATGACACACACATTGAAGACTGGAGTACACACTCTCTCCACATATATATCAACAGCACAGTCAACTGGATAGCTGCATCAATATGTTTGACTGACAGCTAATCTTCATATTAAAAACCTCTTGTCACTTCCTGTCTTACGTTTATCTCCTGTAAAGGTCAGTTTGCCGCTCCTTGCTCTGGCACAAGGTCAACATGGCTGACAGGTAATGAGTGATGTGACTGACACATGCTTGGTGTGTGTTTCCACATGTGTGACTGATAGCAGAGCAGCTGGGGTCCTATGTATTTCCCTATAGGCCTCTCTGTCATCTCAGCCAAAATGGATGACCTTCTTCGGCCAGTTCAAGTTCACTGACCTGCCTAAGGCAGACATATTAGTTTATTTTCCCATCTGAAAAGTGTGCACAGTGTGTTTATATGGGAGCAACGCTGTGTTTACAACATGGGACTGACAGTGATGGGTCATGTTTGTAGGCTTCCTCATGAGGCAGATTTATTTTTCTGACTAGAAAAGTGCACTCAGTAGAGTGCTGACTGTGGCCAATCTAGACAATTTTTGCAAATCCAGCTATCATGGGGTGGCATGTTTCAGAAGCATCCCAGAAGGTAAGAAAAATACATGCCTCACCTATTGTTTGACAGAGCTGCAATATGTTGCACAAATTTCTCCTGCTAAATCTGAATACAATATAGTTATGAGGATGAATGTAATTTTAATTATTAAATAACAGCCACAAATCTTTGATCCATATCGATAATTGGACATTTAATGGTATTATTTTTGTATGTAGGCTGCAGGCAAAATGCGCTGCTTCTCAAACACTCCAGTGTGGCATGATGCCATGTGGCGGATGGAGTAAAAATCTCATCTCGTAACATGTCTCATAACATCTTGAGTATGGAATTAATCTGCAAATGCTTTGCCTCAAAATGAGGCCAAATTTTTCTATGAATGTAATTTTTTGAGGCACAACGACGGCCAACATGTGGCCTGCAGTATACAGTATTACTGTATTTAGCATAGCCAATTTCCAGAAAACTTGCGGCCCCTACTGCCTGGTTGAGAGGAGTCAGTAGTCACTGATGGTATGAAACAGTCAATAAAACAAGTTTTTCAACAACTGAATTACGGAGATCATGAGAGATCATACATTTGCACACAAAATATGAGGCTGATAGGTCCAGTAGTTTGTGAGATAAGCTGCGGACAGATGGATACACTTACACAATCACAACCAAATGCATGATCCCCTCCAGGATTATGTCTGGCAGAGATAGTTATGTATTTGAACAGTTTCTTTACATTAAAGGGAAATTTCGGTTTATTTCAACCTGTCTCCTACCGTCCTAAATTTGTTTCAAGTGACTATTGACATAAAAATAATAGCATGTTAGCCGTTAGCCTAGATACAGCCGGGGCGCATAGTAGCATCAGACCTGTTAAAACGTAAGTGAACGGGCATACTTCAAGTGCAAAGTTAGTCCACTAAACAAGCTTTTTCTCCACAAAGACCGCCTCATATCGTTAGGATAAATGTCAGAGAACATATAGAAAACGACATGTAAACTCTGCTCTGCTTTCCAAAGCGCGGCCGAAATATATCTCGCAAGCTCTAGATAAAGCCCAGCTGGATACTACTCCAGGTGGAGGTGTCTTGTCCTCAGTCACATCCAGACCTTGAAAATAAGGCTGCAACCGGTCCCATTCCTTGCAACAGAGGCATTCGTCTTCTGCGGGCATTGGGGCACAGCATTCACAGGTACACCACCAATCTCCAGAGCTACGCAGCCTTGCAGCAGCCATTCCTCCTCTCTCGTCCTCTACCTGTTGCGTCTCTCTCTCTCCTCCTCCGTTCTTCAATTTCACGAAGCTCTTCTTCAGTGTATTCTGGCTCAAATAAATAAGGGCGGCCATCAAACTCTGCAAAATCAAATTCCTCCTCCACAAAGTCGAAGTCTGGCAAAAAGTCAGCCATTATTCTATAAATCTTTCATAAAATAAACAAATGAACTTTTCAGGCTACTGTCCAGTTCTGCCTTCCAGCTGTTGCTGCTTGTTCTCGCGATATTTCGGCCGTGCTTTGGAAAGCAGAGCTAAATGGTAAACAAACATGGCACCACACCGGTAAGGTAAGACAACACGTTTACATGTCGTTTTCTATATGTTCTCTGACATTTATCCTAATGATATGAGGCGGTCTTTGTGGAAAAAAAGCTTGTTTAGTGGACTAACTTTGCACTTGAAGTATGCCCTTTCACTTATGTTTTAACAGGTCTGACGTTACTATGCGCCCCGGCTGTATCTAGGCTAACGGCTAACATGCTAACTTTTATTTCTATGTCACTAGTCACTTGAAACAAATTTAGGACGATAGGAGACAGGTTGAAATAAACTGAAATTTCCCTTTAAGTGTCTTCATGTCAGTCATCTCAAAAACAACAGAAAGCAAGACTATGTCACTTATACTGAAGAGCAGCCACTGAGTGCATTTCCATCCACCAACATCCACTACCTTTTCATTTTGTGCATTAAAAAAAGAATCATGAGTGAATTTTTAGAAATTTGATAAAATAAAAAAAAGTTGCAATATTGCAAAAAGTTGGTGTATCAATAAAAACAAAATGCAACAAAGGGCAATAGAAACAGACTTAATAATGAATGTTACGTGCCGTGGGGTTGTGTTTGTGTTTCTGTTCTCTTCTGTGGCTACACTACCGCGTTTTAGAAATAATCTCTGTCCTTACGAAGACACCTGGATACACATATCACATGACTATTTATTTATTGCTTGTGTAAACAGAAAGCAGATTGTCTATTCTGCGGTTGGTTGCTTGGTTACAGAAAATACTATGGAGATGGTGAAGAGTACAACCAGGGATTTCTTTACTTAAATGGACAACGAGATGGAACTGTTACTGAAGGTGACACGTGAGTATAAGGCGGTCAAGGTGGCAGAAAACAAATTAGGAGTTAGGGGTGCACTACAATGTTGGCACATCATCGGTATCAGCTGATATTGGCTTTAAAATGAAATATCAGAATTGGCCAACATGCTTTTTCTTATTTTGCACAATGAATGAATATTACATACATTGAAAAGTATTAAATTTCATGTTTCCATCTGCTGGTGGGCCATCATGATAAGAGTATGCATGCATAATATGGTGTTAATTCCACTACAGAAGAGACTTGATGATCACTAAAATCAGGCGGGAAAAAGTGAATATATTTATATTGGTGTTGGTCATCTGCGAAATAAATTGTTATATATCAGCATATCAAGTATTGAAATTGGCAAAAAAAAACCCTGCTGCACTGGGAGTGTTATCACTGGAGGAAGCCATGGCATTTGGAAAGGAGCACCCACAAAAGAACAATGAAATCACAAAAGCTGACCTAGCTGCAATGTTTTTGACTTGGTGGTCAATTCAATACAATTGTTTTTTTAATAAACCAGCACAGTATTTAAAAGATCTAAAAAATCTTGTTAACACTGAAATAAAGCAGACGTACGCCTGTATGGCCTCAGTAACGGAGCCGATCTGGTTGACTTTGAGCAGCAGGCAGTTGCAGGCTCGCTCCTCAGCAGCTTTCTCTATCCTCTTAGGGTTAGTCACCGTCAGATCATCCCCCACCACCTGGATCCCCACCTGGGCTGTCAGACGGGACCAGGCCTCCCAGTCATCCTGGTCGAACGGGTCCTCAATGGACACCACTGAGAAGGAGGGAAGAGAGGTGAAAAATGAATAAAGATATTTCATCTCTGGCTGAAGATCAACAAAAACAACAAATATAGCCCACCTGGGTAGTTGTTGACAAAGCCTTGGTAGATGTCAGCCAGCTCCTCTCCAGAGATGTGTCTGTCAGGATCTGGGGGGGATTTGAAGTCCAGGTCGTATTTCCCATCACGGTAAAACTCTGAGGCGGCCACGTCCATTCCAACCACCACCTTGTCCGTGAAACCGGCCTTCTCTATGGCTATCTGCAGCAGATCCAGAGCTGAGGCGTGAAAGGAAGAGGGGGAGAGCAGGGAACAGAGATAGAGCCATTAGATGATGTAAACTAAGAAGTCAAAAGTCAGACTAACTATGAACTTTTTTTTTTACTTTTTTGCCACTCAGGCTAAAAACAGAGTTCCCTAACCCTGTAATTGATGCAGCCAGAGAGATGGTTCAACAGACACAGCTGAGGGCTAAAAACTGATGCAACCTCCTCTAAATGTTTACTGCGAAAAAAAACTCTTATTTCATGATGTAAACTAATAATTATTTATTTCAAATTCAAGCAAAAATAAACATTTTGTTTTAGTTCAGCATTAAATGTCAAAATAAAAGCTTCTTTTCCAGAGCCATGAACCCATTTCATCCACCTAGGCCTATTATGCAGCGTGTTCAGTGAGGTTGTATTGAGGTTGTACCAAAATTCAAATTAAATTTCATCACCCAATGATCTGTGTAAAGAACACAGAACATCACTGTTGACACTCTTCCTCCTCTTACTCACCCTCACTGTTCTCCAGGATGTTGGGAGCAAATCCTCCCTCATCTCCCACATTGGTTGCATCCTGGCCGTACTTCTCCTGGATCACCCCCTTCAGTGTGTGATACAGCTCCGATCCTATCCTCAACGCCTCCCTGAGAGACAGAGGGAAGGAGGGAGAGATCGTCAGAGAGTGGAAAGGCAGAGACAAAAACATCCTCAGGAGAGAAATAATCAAGAAAATGAATGATGAGAGAAGTTAGGAAGAACATTTTTCAAAAAAATAGACTAAAAATCTTAGATATTGAAAGAGAAGAAACCAAATGTAAAAATAGAAAAACTTCATGACGATGTTTTTAATTCTTACTTGAAAGATTCAGCTCCAACGGGAAGAACCATGAACTCCTGCATGGCCAGTTTGTTACCTGCATGAGAACCTCCATTTATCACATTAAAGGCCTGAAGAGGAGAGGAGGAAACAAAGAGGTGAGAGGAAAGGAGAGGACAGAAAAAGGGGGATAAGGAAACAAGGAGAAAATAGAAGAGGAAACAAGGAGAACAGGGGGAGGAAACAGAGGGGGAAACAAGGGGTCAAGGGAAGGAAATGTGGAGAGAAGAGAAGAGTTTAGTAATAATTTTAGGAGCCTATAAAACTAAGAAACATCTGTAAACACCTACACACTGTCCACACTATACTATTCCAGATAATGTAACAATGCAAGCATGTGAAATTATCATATATTTTTGGTGAGAAAAGAGTGAAACTCATATGAATAACCAAAATTTTTATTAAAACAAAAATAAATGAGTTTGTGTCTTACAGGAACTGGCAGCACCAGCTCTGTGTTTCCAGCCAGGTCGGCTATGTGGCGGTACAGGGGGACGTCTTTCTCTGCTGCACCAGCCTTGCAGATGGCTAGAGACACTCCCAGGATGGCGTTGGCCCCGAACTGAGCTGTTTGACAGGACAGAAAACAGGGAAGCATTACCTTCATTGTCAAGTCAATAACCCCTTAGTCTGCATTTCTTTCTTTTAAATGTTTAATTTAACTTTACTTATAAAGCAGTAGGGATGCATGATATTGGATTTTTTTGCCAGTAGCCAATATGCCGATATATAACAACTCATTTGACCAATAAGTGATACCAACATTGATATTTCCACTTTTTCCCTACCTAATGTGGTAGGTATGTGATAAAATCTAAACTTTGAGCCATGACTCCTATTCTGGCTCCCAATAACACAACAAGTTGACATTTTAAACAGTAAGTATTTTTTGTAACTGCTTTTTTTTAGCTTACTGTGTGTGTGTGTGTGTGTGTGTGTGTGTGTGTGCAAAAAACAATAATTAGAGAATTAATTCTCTGTGTTTTGTGAATGACGTCTAAGGTCTCTTTATAATTACGGTATGTGCATTTCAACATAAACAGAAAGTCAAGTAAAGTCTGTTTCAGCTACAGTTTAGTCTGACAGGTTTTTCTGTGCTGGCTGAAATTCATTTCTCCAAACACCATTACTTTCACTGCTGTTTACCTTGCTGCCTGAAATGATTAGTTGGCATGACTGTAAATAAGAATAAATGAACAGTGAATTTATTTATTAACGGTGTGAGTTTGCGTCGGTCGTGCCAAAGCCCGTTTGGAACAGCAATCTATTTTCTCTGTCTTGTTTCCGTCTGTATTTATTTCCTCTTGTTACCCACTTTGTGACAAACGGGCCTTTGGTAAAGACATTTTTCAAAATGAGTGTGACTTCACACGAGCTGCAGGAACAAGATTTCCAGCTGGCTGGTGAACTCTGATGATGCAGTGTTTTTAGTCCATCACAACTTGTTTTGACTCACATTTGTTTTCTGTGCCATCCATCTCGATCATCATGTTGTCCAACTGCTCCTGCTCCACCACACTGATGCCCTGCAGACACACAAATACAAACACTCATCTTGACAGTACACACAGGTAAGGCAATCACTATATTGATATTAACTCTTTTAAACCTGTTTTCTTGTGCTGTGCTCAGATGTCTTCAAAAGCATTTAAAGGTGCACCCAAAAATGAAAATTCAGCCATTATCTACTCGCCCATATTCTGATGGAGGCTCAGGTGAAGTTTTAGAGTCCTCACAACACTTGCGGAGATCCAAGGGGAGAGGGGGTAGTAGCACAACTCCACCTAATGGAGGCTTATGGTGCCCCAGATTAAAACGTCCAAAAACACATAATTGAAACCACAAAATATCTCCATACTGCTCGTCCGTAGTGATCCAAGTGTCCTGAAGCCCCGACATAAAAAGTTGTTGATGATGAGGCTAAAAACAGAGTTCAAATGACGTTTTTCCAAACAACTTTTTATGTCGGGGCTTCAGGACACTTGGATCACTACAGACGAGCAGTATGGAGATATTTTGTGGTTTCAATTATGTGTTTTTGGACGTTTGAATCTGGGGCGCCGTCAGCCTCCATTAGGTGGAGTTGTGTTGCTACCCCCTCTCCCCTGAGATCTCCTCAAGTATTGTGAGGACAGATATGTGCTGCAGTGCAGTATGGGTAATTCCTTCAATCAGCAAAAAACATCTGCTGATTGAAGGAATTACCCATACTGCACTGCAGCAGATATCTGAATCATACTTACATACTTACACACACTCGCACATAAACACACACACCTCATTCACTCACTCACACACTTCTTTCTCACACAGATATATTATCGTCATCTTTTATTTACAGTACCTCTAAACACACACACACGCTTTTCTTCTCCATTACTGATAACTGGAAAGACTATCTTCTTCTCAGAGTTTCCTGTCTGCCCATCCAGATATGATAGCCATCTGTCCATCTAGTGACTGAATTTGTGCTCAGTGTCACCTGCTGCATGAGGTCGTTTTGTTCATATCTAATGTTCAAACTGGACATTTTCAGCCTGATTTAATCTGTCTATAGACTGTTGAGACACATGAACACAATACCTTTAATGTCACACACGGTTCTCTAAAAGGACATCTGAAACCTGGGGTTTAGGAAAATATTTTTTAGGCAAAGCCTGGGGGGACTGAAATAACGAACCACCAAAACTGAGTGTCATTAATAAAGGGACAATCAAGGCAAATGAGCCCAGAGATATTACAAGTAAGGCTGAATACAGTCCTGCAGGAATGAGCCCTTATACCCAGAAATGAGTCAGCAATTTTACACTTCCCGTTCCCCTGTCTCAAATTCATTGGGTTTTTGGTCCGATGCCTGAAATAACTTCTGTGGTTAACACAAGGTTAAGAGACTTTCACCTTGTATTGTACGACATAAATACGTCAGTAAATCCCCCGCTTGGATCCCCCAATTTTGAAGCTTTTACGTGTCTGAAAAAAGGTGGTGGCTAAATGAGACTACCAAGGTTGTTGGGGACATTAAATGTCATCACCAGTGTTGTCAACTCTTCTCCAATTAAAGTAGCTAGCATTAACTCCAGTAGTCGCTAAAAGTCTCCAGATGATGTGAGAGCGATCCTGCACTGATGGCAATGAGCTGTGGGCTGCAATTACTCTGAGCTGCAAACATGAGACTCAATTACAATGTAGGCTATTTGTCTTTTTCCATGATGGTCTGAATAAGTTGCTAAGTTTGTCGCTAGGTGCTTTTCTAGAAATAAAGTTGCTAAGAGGGTCTGAAAAGTCTGAACATGGAAATTCATGTACTTCACATTCCGTTTGTGTTTATACCTGCGCTCTTGCCATTACCACTGGCTCGATCAGGTCACGCTAAGAGGAAAGGCTTTTGACCTTGGTGTAGTTTTTCTTAAAGCCTTACATTTTGCTTCTGGCAATTATTAAGTATTTATGCTTCAAAAATCATAAAAGTGGTGTTCGTTTGTGAGGACTACCTGTAAGTAGTAAGTAAACATGTAAGTATCATAAACTTTTGTTTGCCACAGAGTTTATTTTGTGCAATAATCCAAAATCCATTGTAATGACCCCATTGGCTTTTTGTCGAGGTAACCAGTATGATGCTAACTTCTGGGTTAGCCTACAATAAGTCCCCAAATTGAATCTTTAATGTTTAGCTCTCTATAAAACTGTGACTTTTGTTGACTGGGAGGGCAGAAATACTGCTAACACACAACCGTTACCTACAACTCTTGGGCCTGCTAAGAACTTAAGGACACTGTATCTTAGTTAGTACACTGACGTATTGATAGACTCACAAGTCAGTCTTTAGACACTTTGCTTAACTAAAGACTGATGACTTTCTCCCTGATTTTGTGTTTAGATGGGCGGATACAATTTCAGAGTAATTTCCCTACGTTGCAGAACCAATAGTAAATCTGCAGGGTGGTCCTTCGGTGGCTCGCTGAACTCTTGTGCTTGTAAACATAGTCCCACTAGAAACACGTGTAGTGGTACAAAATGGCTCAGCCGTGCTTGCAGAAAACGCCGTCAAAGTTCAGTGGATGTTTGTCGCGTTTGCGGCGACACATTCTCGCCAACTAAAAGAAACAAACATAATCTTTTACAAGGCCATGACTCATCCGTCCGGCTGGACTATAACGTTAGAGGGAATCACCTTGTTGTTTACAAATACTTCAGGGTAGAAAACCAGCAGAGCTTTTAGCTATATATATAGCCTATATATCACATTTTTCACATCACTGTATCACCGTTTGGACTAATCCGATGTCTGTAAAGTCTATAAACACAACGATTGAACAAACATTACTATTTCTATGTGCACGTTTAGCTGGGCTAACCATTAGCTGTTAGCCCTGTTAGCCGTTAGCAGTGTCTGTAATAGGTAATAACTCATTAAAGGGTCCGTGAAATCTTTTCCAGCGGATATCTTAGTTACAACATGATTGAGCTAGCAAAGCAGTTTTGTGTTGCTATGTGTGGTATTTATTCAGTTTTAGGAAACCACGATGTTTGGAAAGCATCAGTGGCTGCAGCTGACAGGGACAGCTAACAGCAGCAGCAAAGCTAACATCAGGACGTCATCTGTTAAAAGCCTCCCGTTGTCGGATACGACATGAAACTACTCCAGTTAGCTCAATAATGTTGTAACTAAGACATCCGCTGGAAAAAATATTTTCTTCACGGATGAGCACACGTTTGATAAAACGGAGTTAAATCTCTCGGCATCCATTTTCAAGCTCTGTGTGTGTTTGTTTCCTTGTGGACGAGAAAAGGAGGAGCGCACATTTCCGAGAAGGCGTGTCCTTTTCAAAAATGCAAGAGGCGTTGCTTTGTTGCCAGCCGTTTTCGCCAGTGTTTTAAACACACTTTAGAAAGGAGTGTCCCCAGACTATCAGAAGGCGGAGATCTCTGATTGTCTGGTGGCGAGACTAACGTATTGATGACTTACAGAGGCTATAAGAGCGGGACCAAGAGTATCGTTGATGTGCCCGACTGCCTTCAAAACACCTGGAAGAAAGGACAAATAAGATTAGTGAGTCAGAAAAGGAAAAAAAGTAATTAATGTAAATGTACTCTTTGTCTAAATCCAACATTAAAGAACCCTTGTGATATTGACACTGATTCCACGCTAGCCTCTTGTCTGCTAGCTTTCTGGTCACAGGCAAGGTTCATTTACAAGCAGAAATGTAACAAAGTTTTCTGGAGGCTAAAAGCTGAATTAAACTGATTCCTAGTGATGAAAAACAAGAAAAACAACAAATGTGTTGGTAGCAGTCTGTATTAGCCTCTTTTCCACTAGCTTCTGTAACTTAATATTTACAACTGTACTGGACACTATAGGTTGAACTTTACTGATTTTTTAAGAAATGTACTTTGCTAGCATTCGGCTTCACATATGCATAATGGGAATGGTGGTTGTTAAATACGGAAACTTTGTTTGGTTAAAATGCCACGCTAATGACGTGTTTCAGCTTTTGAGAAAGACACATTACAGAAAGCCCATGTTAAGATAATAAATCAGAGCAGAGGACTAATTCAGTTTTTTTTTGAATGTTTAGAAATCCTTCTGTCCTCTTACGGTCAAAACTAACACGTTGTAGCTTTAACTGTTTAAAGAATGTGAATATGAATGCAAACACAGTCAATCTCTCACCGTACCTTTGCCCTTGAAGCGACTCTTGTCTCCATCTCGGAGCTCCAGGGCCTCATAGATCCCCGTGGATGCTCCACTGGGCACCGCAGCCCTGAACAGACCTGAAAATCAGAAAGACGGAGAAAAAATTAAGGTTTTAAATGTTATGAATTGACACGAGAGGAGGAAACCAAAATGTAGTTCATAGTTTCCATTCTACAGACATTTTTTGTTTGAATCAAAGGAGCTGTATGCCACATTCAGAGTCGGAATTCTCTGCACACGGCTCTCAACATGGAGGTGGCTAAGCCGGCAACTGGCGGCTAACGGTGCTAACCTAGTCTGTTTTCACTGAACATAGTATAATACATGCTTCTAAATATGAGCGCACATGTTGATTTATATGAAGCATGTTAAGTAAAATGAATTATTTAAGATAATATTATTGCAGTCATGATGCTAATTCCGGATAGCATGTTAAAGGTAATTCCTATTATATGTTAGCATAGTGGTAACAGACTAAGCGCTAGTTATTTAATTATTATTATTATATTTAATACAATAAACATATTAAGAGGAAATGAATTTAAGAAAAGGTACTGCAACAGTTATGAACATAAACATAGATTAGAAAAATTACAATAAATATAGGAAAAAGATATAAATGTATAACAAAACGAATATGTACAATATAGCTTTGTCAGCTGTTAGGAATTATTAGCATTATGTTTTACTGTATGGCTGACTGAATATGCTCAGTTTTTGTACATAAATATGCAGCTCTAACGTGAATACACACTATTTTCTTTATTATTTAAAAACTTAACATGGGAACAAGACAGTACGGAAGTCTTTCTTCCAGGTTTGGGACAAAATACGAGTTGTTCTGTGGGAGTGGGATGGGACAGAAGCAAAAACCCACTCCTGTGTCACCCTCTAGTGCAGGGATAAGCAACTTGACACTCTTTAGCCCCTCTCCAGTGGCTCCCTGTGGCTTTGACAAAAAATTATGTGGAAATTATTAATGTTTTATTTAACATTTTAATTTTCAAATTCAATGGCTTACCACCTTTTTCTATAAATTTTGCTGAACTTCAACAGCAGTGTCTAGCTTTGGATTACAAATTCAAAAAAAAAAAGTTTTAGAGTAAAATAAAGACTCAAATAGTATGTGGACAGATTTGTTTGTTTTCACTGCTAATGTTGCAAATGAGTTATGAGTGCTCATTCAGAGCTATTAGTGATGTTAGGCTGACCAAACGTCCTCTTTTGCCCGGACATGTCCACTTTTCACGTCCTGTCCGGGGCGTCCGGGGGGTGTTTATAAATTGATGATAATGTCCGGTTTTCCTTGCGTGTGTGTGTGTGTGTGTTAGAGTGCGGCACGGGCCGCATATTTCTTTCTGAACCCGACCGAGTCCGAGAGAAAAGTACACGAACCCGTCTGAACCCGACAGTCATTCTGTTTTGTTATGTCCAAAAACCGAACTGAGCCCGACATTATTTAATTACTAAAGCACTGAGTTTGTGTCACACAGTTGTTATGGTTACAGGCTATTTAACAGGCCGGGCGTGCGCCGTGGGTGCTCCGCGGAGAGGGAGACCTCCGTGTTTGAGACGGGAGCGGGCGGCGGAAGCGGGCGGCGAGAGGTCCGACGCTTCCAGCGAGAGGAGTGGGAGAAATATAACAAAATAAGATAAAACAGGAAAAACCTGTCTTCCTCTTTTATTTTATTTTCAGCGTTTAATCAAGGCGGAGGCGGGCGGCGGAAGGTCCGAGGCTTCCAGCGAGGGGAGAGGTAGAAACAAACAGCCAATGTGTGTGTGTTCTGTTCAGCTGTTGTCATGTAAATAACAGTCCCCGAGCAATAAACAGGACAGACAATAGGATTTTATTTATTTTTACACTACATTTTCACTGAAAGCCGACCGAATCCGACCTGACCCCGAATACAATTTATACATTTTTGACCCGGCCCAACCCGTCGGGTAGGACTACCATCGGGACCCGTCGGGCTCAGATCGGGTAGCCACATTCTAGTGTGTGTGTGTGTGTCCTATCTATAGGTGCCTATTTGAATTTCTGTCTTTGAGAGATATTATTTTGTAATATAACTGAATTTTCTATCCATACATATAAACTTTAAATATATTAAAATTATAAGGCATCTTTGAGTAAGTATCATTTAAGTAGGCTATCTCTTGGCCGGGCCGAGTGTCCTCTTTTTTGGAAATCAAAATATGGTCACCCTAAGTGACATTTATAGACTAATTAAGACTTTATAGGCTGTTTTACTTACATTATAAGGCTCAAGTTTTGTGGCTTGGGACAGACTTTTTTATTTAAAGGGCCAGTGTGTAAAATGGGTTGAAAACAGTGACATCAGTGGCCAAATTCTAGATTGCAGGGCTCACTCGCTCACCCCTCCCGTCGGGTAAATGACGGCGGCCTCGTAGGGACAAAAAGCCTTGCGCACGAGTTTTTCAGGAGTAGGTCTGAGGTTTATGTTTATTTAGAAATCTAAGCCATGTTACGATATTGTAATGAATCCCTCATGAGCAGGAGACCAGAGGAGTGTTCGGGAAAAAGGCCCATTTATTTGAGCACTCCAGAAACTCCAGTAACACTCCAGGGGGTAAAAGACTCCGTCCCAAACTCTGACTCTTCTAGTGTAACAGACACACTTCATAACTTTACACACATACTTGTTTACCATGCTAAGTGGGGATCCCCCTCCCCTCTCTGCTCAATCTCCAGCCCGCACACTGACTGACAGCATAGCTGGTAAACAGAGCTCAGCTGTTTATTTAGCCTAGCGATATCTCCGGACTATAGTAGCTGCAATGGACGACTTTGAACGCGATTTTGAAGAGTTTCTTGTAGCGGACACAGACCCAGAGCCATACCTGTTTGAGCCGGAGCACACAGATGAGGAACTCCATGTATTTGATGCTGAGCGGGTGAGAAGAGAGGCTGAATGCACAGAATGGGATTCGGTGCTACTGCTACCATCGCTGGGGAGATATATCATCAGGAGGAAAACGCCGCAGAGAGTGAAGGAGTGAAGTTGCAACTTCTTTTCCTCGCAGATGACGGTTCAGGTTCATTCTCTCCTGTTGCGTGGTAAGTGTGGTCCATTCGCAAACTTTATAACTAAAAAACTTTTCACTACTCTCTATCGATGAACTACTAACACTCTCTGCTGTTTCCTCCTCCTTTTTCCTTCCTTCCGCTGTCTTCGTTGGTTCATTTATACACGCGAAACGCGTTCTCTGGCTGGCTGGATTGTCCGCTCGGTCTGCCGTACATACATGGCGGCGCAAGATGGCGACCTCTCTAAAGCAAGGCCCTTCCTATATATATATATATAAAAGCATAACTATAAGGCTACGAAAACCAAACGAATTTTATTTTATAGCGATTATACACTTATAAACATATTAATGGGTAGAATATTCAGATTCAGATCAGATTGACAATAAACCATGCCAAATATTACACATTGGCCCTTTAATCTTTTGGCCAAAACGGCTCTTTATTGTAAAAGTTTCCTTCCCCTGCTCTAGTGGGTGCTACGCTTCTGCAACGATGTTGTTCTGCCACCGTGAGTTGGGACGCCGTTTGCAGCTGTAACAGCCATATGAGCACAGAGGAGAGCATTGGCAGTTAACTAGCCAATGAGATACTCTCACAGGGACTCACACACACTAACATGTACATGCAGCTGTACAATCTACCACAATAAGAAAAAGAAAAAAAGAAGCTTTGATTACACACCAACACCAAGAGAGGTAGCGTGACTTGGTTCTCTGCTCAGGTTGCCATTACTCCACTATATCTTTACATAGTAAATAGTTGTTTGCTGCTATATTGCTTTGAATGTTGTATGTAGCACCTTTAATCCTCAATGGGCAGAACTATGATTTCGAGACAGTTCCCCTTTAACACATACTCCCCCGTTTAGGAGTGGTCCACCCAAATTTAAAAGAAATTGACTGTCAATGTTCCTCTTTGCAGCAGTTACCAATTTTTTGGTAAAAGTTTTATGTGAGATCCGGAAATTGGTTTTGGTCGACATTTGTGATGAATCTGTCCATCAGTTTTTATTTATTTTATTACACTGATAGACTGTCAGACTGATCTGAAGTTCAGGAGACACCATATTTTTGTTTATTCTCTGTATACAAATTAAACAGTTATCTTGTATGTAATGAATTTGATTTGTTTCTGGGTGACTACAGAAGGGTTATGAAAGCATGCTCATAATGTGGACCTTCAGCCTACAAGAAGACTCTAAGCCCCAATCTTCCCTCAGCTGAGGACTGATTGATCTGGACATAGGTCAAATGAAGGTCATTTGATGTCAGAAACAATTTACGATTACAGCAGAAACGCTGTTGCGCTGCCAAATTTCTTAATGCTTTCTGGCTAATTTCTGACATGATGAATCTGTGCAGACATCCATAACTTTACGTTGTTGTTTTCCCCATCTAATATTTGCAGTCAGGCTTGTCAGTAGTCACCTTTCTCTGTGCAAAGGTCCACTTCCACAGTGGGGTTTCCCCGGGAGTCCAAGATCTCCCTGGCAACGATGCTGACGATCGACATCCTGAGAGGGAGGAAAAGAGACTGCGTTACGAATGCTCTACCTTGTAATGTGCTGTGCTCTGCGTCCTGTCAGAATTACAGGTACAGTGTGACAGTTGTATTGGTTATGGCAGCTTCAGATTGGATTGAAAAAGAGGGAGAAAGAATAAAGGAAAGAGAAAGATCTCATGGGTGAAGAATCTATTTTCACATTGAACACACACACACACACACACACACACAAAGAACAACCTGTCAGGGGAGACAAGAAACAACATCACTGCAGATTCACTGTGAAAATCAAAGCTCACCAGTCTCACGCACATACAGTATACTGTTACACTACCACACACACACACACACACTGCAGTTTCTTTGTGTTTTTGGAAGCAGGTTGCAGTTAAATTCTTCCGCAACAGACGAAATTATGCATCTGTTTTCCACTGCTTTCATCCAGACTGGAAAGAAGGCTGCACTGTGCACCCTGACAGATTGTGTTCCTCTGTGCCATAGAGCTATTGACATCCATTCATTCATTTATTACCATGAACACACACACTGTAATTTATTTTTGACTCAGTCCCACATACACCTTCCTGCTGCCCCTAGATTTTCACGGGAGCACCAAATGTGGATTAATGCGCTACATAATATAGTCCCAAACAAGTGCACTATTTCATCCTGTTTGCTTGGTAAAAATTGCAGTGACTGGCTGTTTTAGGAAGTTACTGAGCCCTTTTTAAAAATGAAACTATGTATTTATTTTTAAAGATTTACGTCTTCAGTAGGAACCAATGGGCTTGGAGCTGAGAGCCACAGGTTTGGGAAGTAACACTTTGGTCTTGGTCTTTTCATGGGATTTGTTAATGAGAAGAAATGTATTGATTCACCCTTTATCATTTAGCAACAACAGCTATTTGATAACATTTCTACCAAGTAATTTTTAACATTAACAGAATTGTCTGTCACTTTTGTACAGCAGTGCAGGGCACCAAGCTACATTTCCATGTTTTGCTCAAATCTGTTTTTTTTTTCTTTCTTTTGTCTGCTGGTTTATTGTTTACTTTTGTTCACAGAATTAATTAACACTGCAGGGTTAAAAAATAATTCATCATTTTCATTTGCAGAAAATAAGCATTTTTTTGCCTGAAAGTTTATCTTCGCTAAAATTCATTGTTTTTCCTGTTTTGTGTGCTACTGTTTTTTTTTGTTATTGTTGTTTTTTTTCCTTTTTGCAGTTATGCTACAGCTTGTGAAGGTGACTTCCTGTTTATACAGATTTTTTTAAAAAAAAATCTTTAAAGCTACAGCTTTTTAAGTTTTTTACTTTAACTTTTCATGATGAAATCGATGTTGACTGCACAGAGTAATGGCTATGGCATAATTACACCATCTGTGTCACATATCGACATTTGGTCATGGACTTTTCACTGTGACACATGCCATGCAAGGTACCCTGGGTGCACTGATTGTTGATGATATGGGACGCAGCGTTGGGTGGTTGCTGGTTGTTGGATTCATCCAAAACCCCTCCCACCCACCGCACTCAGACTTCCGTTGCCTTAACTTTTGGTGTTGTCCCACCACAATTACCCCTTACACCACTGAGCGCCAATAAACAATAACAGCAACCGGCTGTGTATTATGCCAACGTGAAAGGACGGCTTATTTTGTCGGTGTCTGACATTGGAAGTCACTGACCAAGTGCCAGATTTCGACAACTTCAGAGTTAGACCAGGTTGATTTAGAGTGGTTCCCTATGAGCCTCAATTTCACTTTGCAATTCTGTCTGCCACCAGGTACAATCTTCTGGAAAAATTAAGGCTCCATTTACAGCACAAAGGAAGTGCATCAACCATTGTGCAACCTGGTAGCCATCGATAGTTTTCCCCAAAGGCATCACTTCGTGTTTGGGAGAGCAGTCCCATATATGTGATTTTAGGCAATGTAATTGGTGGGATCAGTATGAGGTCAGAGGAGATAATTGCGGCAGTTTGGGGAGAAAGTAGTAAATCAAAAGGGCATTGCCAAGGGTAGTACCAAGGCTGTAGGGTTTTTTTAAACACTGAGAGGGGGGCACAAACGGAAGTCTGGGGGTCCTCTCACAGAAACTTTTGAACACTTAATTTCGAACACTTCATATCCTGTAAAGGAAAGCATGAAATTCAGGTGGCAGGGAGCAATTCACCATATAGAAAATATAATGGAATATAACGCAATGAGGCTCTCAGCATTCTGTATTGCTTTCAACATTTATTCCCCAGTAGGTCAGCTTTTCTAATTTAATCATGATGTTTGTGATTATTTGCTGGCTCTGAGGAAAACAGAAAGCGATCCAGTTGTCTTTGTGAACAATAATACCACTTGGAAACCCTAGAGGAGAGAGAGTTGAGAAGTTTTCTGTTTTCATATTAAAGTTTTATGACACGATCCAATTCAGTAAATCAGTAGTTTGAAAGTGGTTAGTGGTTACTAGGAATTTATGAGGGATTTTACACACAAACTTAGTGACAGATTTATTTATGAAATCCTGTACCACAGAGGGACATGAAGAAACATTCCGGTGAGATTGGATCTCAAGAAGAAATCACATATGGATGTAACTCTTTTCATTTCTAACCACTAATATGAAAGGACTCATTTTTGTTATGTTTCTCACTGCTCACGTAATTAAAAAAATAAACTCATTCAGTTTGATGATTTATTTGAAATTTCTCTATCACTATGTCATTACCTAAACTCTAAAACATCAGGAGCTCTGTCCTCATTGTCATGTCACTATCATCCGTGCTGATCTCCTCTGTGGGTGTTTCCCCTCTTTCTCCTCATTGATATTCGAGACATGCAGCACTGCAACAATATGTCAAAAAAGGCCTTTTATGTCTTCCTCGTCTCCATGCTGTATGAATACTTCATTGATCTGCGAGGGGCTAAAACTGGCTCGCTGCTAGCTTGCAGAAACCTGTCACCGTTATGAGGCCGTCCTTACAGATGCACTGACAGAGCAGAGGGTGTGTCAGCTCCTGTGGACATATATTTTCTCATCGTGCCTCTTTAGTGGGCATTCATCAGTGCAAAACTACACTGTAATGCCAACAGGGAGATAGATATTGTACCATCTGAAGTCAGATCTAATGGGAAATTAGATTTTAGAGGTTACAATGATTTACAGTCTCCTTACAGCAGACGTAGGAAGTGCAGGTACAAATAATTACATTAAGGATGGCTAAGTTCCATTAACACATTCCTGCGAGCCAACATGCGCATACACAGTGTTTCTGTAACTCCCGCTTGATGAAAAGACAGAAGCTTCCTGTGTTTGTGTCTCACACAGCATTTAATATAGTTGCCTCTGCAGTGTGGGAGAAACACTGAGACCTTTTAATGAAGTAAATGTAGCAGTTCCACAGTAAAAAGTATTGGCATCAAAATATACCAAAGTAAAAGTACTTATTTTGCAGAATGGCTTATTTCAGAATAATACGTAACCAATTACATCATTGATATATAATTATTAATGCATTAGTGTTGCTTTAATATTGCAGCTGGTAGATCTGGGATAATTTTCTGGGATTTATTTTGTTGAGTAAACAGCCCATCACCAGAGGAAAATGTTGAAATTGTATGATTCTGTAAAACACAGATATGTTACATTTGTGCGTGTCATATGTATCATATCAACTTTTCTTAAATGATGTAGTATATAAGCTGACTTTGTCATTGGGAGGTAGAGGGGACAGTGGATATTGTGGCACCTAACAGCAGACCGGACAAGCTTCAGACCACTGTTCGAAACCAACAAACACAACTTCTCATAGAATGGTTCGTATGATTATCCTACGAATTTGCCCCCCAAGAATGGCGTTACATCCTTAATGTACAGTGAGGTAATTCATGTTAAGTTACTGTGGATAGGTTTGGGAAAAGAAACATGGTGAGGAAATGAAATGACTCAAAGTTCACTCATAGTTCCACCGGACCCAAACACACAACTCCAGGTCAAAGTCCCAAGCGAAATTTAGGGGGTTTTTGTGTCGTCATACAAACGCTTCGGACTACTGGGTTACATACGAATTTGGGTGCTTTTCAAAGGAAAACATACAAATAATTTGTGAGAACAGCTTGATAAACAACAAAACTAGTTGTATTTTACCAAGATATTAGAGACATTTCCAGCTGTCATTGTGCCCAAAAATTGGATATTTTATTGCCATGATCTTTTCCAAACTATAACCTAACAGCACATTACCTACAGCATTGTTTAAATGTGAAGTTTCAACATTTGTGCTACATTAGAAATATTACATATCCAACACATTTTCATTCCAAGTTGTAAAATACCGACACTTTATCCAGCCCATTAGTGTGTGATTCCGGCCCCTAAGGCATCCTTTGGCGTCTCTATGAGACACACCCTATAGCGTTAATTAATGAGCTGTGTCTTGGTTTAAACACATTGTAACACATGGTTAACATTGTCAAACGGTTGTGGTTGGGTTTAGGCAACAAGACTACTTGGTTAGGTTTAGAAAAAAACATGTTTTGGGTTGCAAAAGTGCGGAACGGTCTAACATATGCACGTGACTGACAGACGTAAGTTATGTGATGTTATGTTTTTTGATGGGCCCTATTGGACATTAATTTGACAGGTGAAGTGCGCCATAGTTGCTAGTTATGAAGCACACACACAGAGTTTTATACGTATATATATTTTACCAAAAGCGTGTCTGACTGCCACGTTTATGTTACATCCACTTGCAGATGTGCCCAGCTTGTCAGTATTGAGAGATTTTGCATGTAAACTAGCTGCCACATGATTAAACAGAGACTCGATATTGGGCAACATCAACATACATGTTGCTAGCCTGGAAATCCAGACCCAAATCTAGAAAGATTTAGACTCTTGCCGTATCCGGTCGGCAAAACAGCTAAAACGTCCTTCTTGCAAAGGAAAGACTCGAGCGCTGTCTTCTGTTCCTCTTTTAGAGAAAAAGCCAAAAAGCAAAACTCGTTCATTGTAGCGGCCAAAGCCGTTTCAAACAAC